ACTTGCTAGAGCTGACAGCACCCAGTTGAGTTATTAGGCAGGCCAGGAATAGCATATAGCACAAATGCCCCATCCCTTGCCATCTGTCCCATTGAGGGGAGCCCTTCCGGAGGTAGCATACACAGACAAGGAAGCAGCACATGGCTCATATGATGTCCGGGCTAGGGATTTTGAGGAGTCTTGGTTTGATTCCAGGACATTTAGACTACATCATACAAACCAAAATGACCATAGAAACATCATAGAAATAGTTTTAATTTCTCTTTTCATTGCTAGAATCAAATACCTAGCAAGAAGCAATTTGTGGAAAAACCAGTTTCTTTTGGCTCACAGCGTGAGAGGGTACAGTCCACCATGGCAGAGAAGGTGTGGCCGCAGGAACCTGATGCAGCTGTTAATCTACAATCAGGAAGCAGAGAGAGATGGGAGCTGATGCTCAGCTCCCTTTCTCCTTTTACTCAGTCTGGGTCCCCACCCCTGGGAGGTTCTGCCCATCCTCTGGGTGGGTCCTCCGTCCTCAGTTAAGTTTCTCTGGAAAGACTCTCATGGGCACGCCCAGAGGAGTGTTTCCGTGGTGATTTTAAATCCAGTCAGGTTGACAATGAAGGTCAAACATCTCCGATAATATTCATTACGGGTAATAAATCGGCTGAGCTCACTTCGGGTGTTCTCAGCCAAGGTCACAACCTCACAATCCACCCACGTGCTCCTGAGAACCTGTTTTCCAACATTTTGATTTGGTTGTCCACATCACAAAGAACGCAGAGTTCTGGGTTTTTGTTTTCCCTGGCCGATAGGAAGGTCTGGTAGTTCAGATGAGAAGTCCTACAAGGCCCGTCCACATGGTTGAGTAGCAAGCAGCCTCTGCTCGCCAGACAGCCCGCTTGTTCAGTTGGTTTAGTAGCTCTGTTAGGCCACAGCCTGGACAGCTGAGGTCCAAGGTCTTCATATTTATGTGAGGCAAACAAGTTGTAGAGGGGGGACACCGGGGTAGGTGGGGAGATGAAAGCATAAGATGTGGGCGCATAGTCAGGAGATACGGGGTTTGACCCCTGTGCCTTACAAGAAACTGCCTGACTGGATTTTACTTTGCCCTGAAGCAGGTCGTTTATGGGCTTGCAAAATTCTACCCTGCTTCCTGATCTCCATTATACAAACACACCTTTCTCTGGCACTCCCTGTTGGCTTGGCTCAGAAAGCAAAGGCCCAGATCTCATGGACTTCTTCTCTTCCTGTTGGTCCTGTCACAAGTTCTCGCTTAGTCCCTCAGCTTGTCACTTGGCTTTTTACATTCCCCCGGGCACCTGTCTCTACCTTTCTAGACATCGGTGCAATTTGGTTTGCCTGGCAATTCCCTTTACTCTGGCTCCTCCCGAGGACACTTTAAAATATTATGACACTTTGAATGTAAGAGACTCCCCACCCCAAACTGGGTCCCTGAAACCTGTGGTCCAGTCTGCCTCTGAGTAGTCATGCATGGGCTCGTTTATTTCCTTGGCTATCCTATTACATAGCCCAGCTAGCTGCCAAGTGTTAAGGACAAGCTACTGCGATTAGGTTATATCTTGGGGCCAGGAGTGGATTCCCTCAAAAAGAACATTATCAGAGAGGGTTCGGAAATCTCACTGCATTCAAATTCCAGACCCAACAATTTTGAGCCTGTTCCCTATCTAACCCCTCTAAGCTCATTTTCTCAACTGCAAGCTAGTAGAAACTGATTCAAAAACTCTGTGGAGAGCTCCTGAAATAATGTGCAACAGAGCTTAGCCCAAAGCCTGGCCCAGGGCAAGCACCCACCAAAGAGTGTATATTGGTAATACTAATTACTATAATCAGGATATGTATCAGAATACAAATGATAAATATGGGTTCTGATCACCAGTGTAACCCTCTATTGCTTAGTGACCTTCTTTGATGTTTCCTCCAAGTTTTTAAGGTATAGAAGTGGGGGTTGGAGGGGCTAGAGAAATAGCTCAGTGGTTAAGAGCACTGGTTGTTCTTCCAGGGGACCTGGGTTCAATTCCCAGCACCCACATGGCAGCTCACAACAGTCTGTAACTCTACTTCCAGGGGATTTGACACCTCCATACCAATGTACATTAAATAAATTATTATTAAAAAAAAAAAAAAAAAAAAAAAAAAAGAAAAAAAAAAAAAAAAAGCCGGGCGGTGGTGGCGCACGCCTTTAATCCCAGCACTCGGGAGGCAGAGCCAGGCGGATCTCTGTGAGTTCAAGGCCAGCCTGGGCTACCAAGTGAGTTCCAGGAAAAGGCGCAAAGCTACACAGAGAAACCCTGTCTCGAAAAACCAAAAAAAAAAAAAAAAAAAAAAAAAGAAGTGGGGGTTGGAGAGATGGCTTAGCAGTTAAGAGCACTGGCTGTTCTCCCAGGTTTAATTCGCAGCACCTACACGGCAGCTCACAGCTGTCTGTAACTCCAGTTCCAGGGTATCTGATACCTTCATGCACATAAAATAAAGTTAAATAAATTATTTTTTAAAAAAGATACAGAAGTTGACTCATTAACCCCAACACTCAGGATGAGTAGGAGGCAGGGGACCACAGACTAGCTGGAGCTACATAGGAAGACCAACCCTGTCTCAAAAACAAGTTGATTTTTTTTAACTTATAGATTTCCACAAGACACACTTTTACTGTTTAAAGCGAAATATGTAAAATATGTTTTGTTTGCAGTTTAGAGGAAGGCAGGCAGGCTGCGCTTTTGTTTTGAATGTAAAAATCATTTTTTTGAGGCAGAATCTTGCATAGCCCAGGTTGCCTTGAACTTCGTAAGTAGCCAAGGATGACCTTGGACTCCTGATCTCCTGCCTCCACTTCCCAAGTGCTGGGATTACAGGTGTGCACCATCAAGTTACCTGGTACTTGGTAAAGAACCAAACTTCATGCATGCTAAGGCAAGCACTCTGCCAGCTGAGCCAAAGGCTAAGACCCTAGCCTAGGAAGGCTACATTTTGAACTTAGGTTTCACAAACCTAAAGTCTCCAAGGTGGTTTTTGTTGCTGTTTTCCAGTTTCATTTACTTACTTTTGTTTTATTCAGACAGGGTGTCCTTATATGGCCTTGGCTGGCTTGGAATTCAACAGAACTTAATGACTTCAAATTTGTAACAATCCTCCTACCTCTGCCTCCCAAATGGATGGCATCTGACTCTGAGGTGTGCTTGCTTTTTTTTTTTTTAGTCATAGCCTGGAGTCAGGTAAACAAACCATTATTCTGCTACCAGTAACTTCCTTTTAAAACCCAGTGTCTTTTTTCCTTCCCACTGTATAGAGTGACTAGGGAAAGCCAGCTGAGTGCCCAAGTAGAGGGATGTATCCCAAGGCTGTCTCCATAGTCAACACCTCCTTTCGGCCTTCAGCTGTGCCTGATGAAGCTGTCTCTTTGGCATGTATGTCCTAACCTATGGGCTGGCTCAAACAGAGAATTCCACTTGTATTTATTTCAGGAACATATGATTTTATCTTAGGCACCTTAATGCAGCTCCTAATATCACCCACCCTCCCTCTGCATACACCGTACATTCTCTCCATTGTTAATCCTGCTCCCGGAGTGGGTGGCAGCTTCTCGAGGCTGGGCTGGGAATTACAGGCCACTTTGTTTGTGCAGTCGCTTGAGAAGCCTGGCACCATTGATTTGCATCAGTGCCTCCGGAATAGCCTTTTGCCATCTCCTTAAAGATACTATCTAAGCTGTGAAATTCATTAAATAGCCCCAGAAATGGATCAGGTTATTTAACACAACATCCCTAATGGCGCAATATCTCAGCTGTCCACACTGATAGCGAACATTGTCTTGGATAGCGTTATCAGCCCAGGACACCCGCTATGAATATTGATCCTGGGCTTGTTACAGCCATCACTTGCCATCAGGACAGGTCAGAGTTGGAACCCACCTAGCATCAAAGCAATTTAAAGACAGCACTCGAACAGAATTTTAATGTCCAGGCTGGGGGAAGAAAAACAAAACAAAACAAAACACCCCAACAACCAAATCAACTCTATGCACAGAGGGAAGATGGCTTGCCAGATGTGAACACATGTATTACATAGAAACACCCTGGCTCACACATGTGCAGTAACGTTAGTGGGTCAAGCACGTTTCCCAGTTGTGCCTGAAGGGAGGTTTTACTGCATTATAGTCCATACAAAACAAGTGGCCAGAAAAAGGGTTTCCTGCAACTTGCGGCCTCCCTCTCCCCGCAGTGGAAAGACATACCCTGGTCTTTGGTTTGTCTCTAAGCCGAGTGAGGGAGCCACAGCAGGGTTTCTTCCATGTCATTTACTATCCAGAGCCAAGCACTAAGCAGGGTCCCTGGACTATCACACTGTCGTGAACACATGTAGGGGAAACGGTGAGGAAATGAAGACAGCGATTTAAAAACCATCACAGAAGCAGGCATGCTTGAGGATCTTCAGGTTACAGAATGTGGACTCCCCATGTTCTTGGATTTTCTCTCCAATTTGTTACTTCCTGCCTTTTTTTTTTTTTTTGGCCCCTTTTCTGTATTTAGCACCACAGACTTCAAAGGAAAGATGACTTATACGAAAGGAAAAACTTTATATAACTTAAACAACAACAACAACAACAAAAAGAGGCTATGGAAGTTCAATGAAATAATCCAAGTTCTGTCTGATCACGGCGGTGTGTGTGTGTGTGTGTGTGTGTGTGTGTGTGTGTGTGTGCGCGCTGGGGCGCATTCCTGGTCCTCTGATTTGAGATACAGGTGCCCTCTGGAATGTTACCCCCTCCCCCATTCCTATGAAATGGCCTCAATGTTCCTTCCAGAGAAAAGGACTACAGAAGGAACATTTTTATCTATTTCTGGGTGACCTTAGGGAGATCTTTCCCCAGCTACCCTGAAAAATCTAATATATACAAATATATGGAAAAAGGTAGATGGAATCGGGGTCAATAGGGAAGGGAAGAGAAAGAACAAGGAAGATTAAAAAAAAAAATGTGAGAACTGGATGAGAAAGGGTTATCCAAACAGAAAACAAAGTATGTGCATTCCAGAGGGATCTGTGATTTGCAGGTATTGTCCCTGGGCCCTGCCTCTCAGTTTCTGGGTTGTCTTTTCCCTGAGTTTCACACGGCACATATTCCCTTTGGCAGGGGGTGTTCTGGTGGGCTTGGGCTCTGCACTTCCTTCCCTTCACTTTAAAAGCACAATCCGTCTTTGCTTTAGGACTGGAGCTGGCTTGAATTTCGGCAAGGCTTTAAAGTCGGCAGGGAATATGGTGGCCACCCCTGGGAGGGGCTGAAAGGTTTGAATGAGAAAAGCTACAAGGAGCTAGCCCCCGAGGATGCCTCTTTAATAACAGATAGGATTAGTAGCCCCCAGCACTTTAGTGCGAAAGAGTCCCCTCCTCTTCCTACTTCTTACCTGCTCAGACAATATTAATTGCCAAGACATTGTCTGGGAACCGCATGGGGCAAAGAAGAAAGGAGCGGGCGGGGTCCGAGGTGGCTCTGGGCAGTGGAGCTAAGTCAGAGATGCTTCAGAATTTGCGGCTGAAATAAATGACTAATGTCCACAGCGGTGACAAAAAGAAGGAATGTCACTATGGGTGTGGCTAGTGCAACCTTTTCTTTACTGCTGATGCTTGCTGTTCTCCCTGGAGACTTGGGGGTCAGATGGGGCCATTTTAATCGTATCTCTTCTCTGATCTTAAATTCAAACCAGCGGGCATCTTTTAACCTTTTCCTTCTTGGGGCTGGGGGAAGATGGGGGTCAGAAACAGTCAATTTCTGACGCTAATGATGGAATCTGTGACTGAAGAAGTCCTGATGGGCAGCGAAAATGGCACTCTGGGTCACTGAAAGGAGGACAGCTACCTTCAGCAGAGCCACCTGGCCCTGAGCCGGCGGCCCTCCTGGTTAGGCACTGTCATCTTTACTATAAACCCCCTTTGACCTCTGACCCTTCTGGCCTTCCAGGTAGAAAGAAAAGTCTCCTGCCCAAGGAGAATATTTTGCCTCTATTTCCCAAGACAGGGGCCGTGCTGAAAAATCCCTGGCCCAGCCCAGACTCTTGTGGACCGTAGTGACCCTGGGCAGATATCATTGCTCATCTTTGAACCTCATTTTCCCGGTTTTTGAAACCCAGACTGTAGTCCCAGGCCACGCCCACCTCATAGGGATGCTTAGAAAATCAAAGGAGTGTGAGAAAGCCCCAGGGCTTTGTAAACTGTAAACACACAGGGCTTTAAAAATTCGAAGTAAATGGGCCCGAAGCCGTTACTGTGGTTCACAGATGGTGCATGAGATGCGTCAAGCATCATTGTGAAGCGATCAGTCCTGGCCTCCGTGGCATCTTCAAGTCAAAGAAAGATGGCAAGTGCTCTAAGAGAAATAAGTAAACTTCAGTCAGGCAGATGTGTATGTAGAGGGGATACTGGAGATGGAAGCCTCCCTCGCGCCCTTCACGAGTCTCCACAGGATGGGAGGACGCTCGCGCAGCGTGCGACCGCGACCCCTCGAATCGGGAACGCGCATTGGCAAGCGAGGGTCCCTCTGGTCCAGGCCAGCTGCCACCGCGCCGCGCGGGATAGTCCCAAGGCAGCTGCGAACTCGCCCTGCACGTGGCGGGGGTCTGGCCAGTGCAAGTGCCAATCCGCAAGCAGCCCCCCGCTGCTCTCCTCCCGCCCCGCCTCCTTGCCACCCTCTCCAGCTTCTCTTGGCGGGGAAAATCTAGTTCGAGACTGGAGCGCTGTGACCGAGACAGAGCTTAAGGCAAGCCCTAGTGCGCCCATCCCGGACCCCGCGCGGCCAGCCTCCGGTTCGTGGGAGGCGGGCATGTTGGCATGGCAGGATGGCGGGGCCAAGGCGGCCCCTTCTCACCACAAGATCTCATTCTCTGTCCTGGACATCTTGGATCCACAAAAATTCACGCGAGCTGCACTCCCGCCGGTGCGTCTAGCTGCCCGGGAAGCCAAGAAAAGTTTAGCGGAGGTGGAAGCAGGGGAGGACGCCAGCCCCGAGTCTACGATCGGGTCTCAGGAGACCCCTGGTAAGAATGCGAGGCGGTTTCAGTCTAAGATGGTATCCGTGTGTGTGGAGCAGCCAAGGTCTGATGAATGGCTGTTGGTGGCCTGGGAGCTAGAGAAGGCGCACCCCGCGCAGGTGCGAAGTGAAGCCTCCCCTCCTTGGAAGAAGAAAGAGGCAGGGATGAGACTGAGATTCCAGGGCAGGTATGTGCCTCATTCCTGAACACCTGCTCAGTGGATGAGCGCAACAGCTCTGACTGGCTCGCATATCTAACGGAAATGTATTATGCTGTCCACGTGCTAGAACCTGGGCTAGGAGCTGGGATAAAGGTTATGAAAACGCCTTCCAAGTATATAGTATCATTAACACCACTCCTATTTTATGGCTGAGGTCATTGAGGCCAGGATTAGGTGCTTATTTTCAACCACTCGGAAACACCTGCGGAGCCCATGCCTTCACCTTTCCCGGACCTGACAGGGGATTGGGGGGTGGGCAGACAGGAAGCTTTGGGTGCTTTCTCTCCTAGACCATTCCACTTCGTCCCTGAAGTTGGTGGACGTCAAAGGGAGGGTTCAGGAAAGTTTGTGGCTGGAAGGACTTAAGACAGAAGGATTCATGCCGAGCGGGACATGGGCATGAGATTCCTCCGAAGGAGCCCAAGGTCTAGGGACTCTGGTCCTGGGATAGGCTGTATGCAGCACAGTCCCCTGCTCCTCGTTTCTAAGTTTGGCAGTGATTGTCTGGGGCCCGGAAGCCTCTGGTGGCCTGCCTTGGGGCCCGGCCGCGGGCTTGGATTAATTGTTTGGATGGTCTCTCTGTGGGGCTGCCTTCCCCTCCCCCTAACTCCTTGATCGATATTCTATTACTGGCGACTGCATATCTCCTGCCCGCAGCTTGCAGGTACTGACTTCAAACCCCCTTTCCCTGTCTGATCCTAATATTGTTCGATTAAAACTTACCTTTAATAGATGACATCTATCGATCAGGCCCCGGACAAATCTGAAACTCTATTAACACGGCCGGAGAGAGAAGATGGGAAAGGGGGAATTTCTCTTTTTGGGGGGAGGAGGACTTAATAACTTCTTTTTTAATTGCTAGGAGTCGCACACCAAAATAGGCTTCTAGGGACTGGGGAGATTCAATAGTAAACGCACTTGACATTCCTATATCGTAATAGCAGACTCCTCTCTTCTCAGCTCGATAAAGTCACTATACTTTCTTGATATGGGGTGCTATCCAACATGTACTTTTTGGGTGCCTACTGAATGGCAGATCTGTAAAGGGCAAGAGGACACCGCACTCCTGAATCTGCTCCCTAAGATGTGCGCATTGGGGACGGAAGAGGACAAAGAGAGAGTGGAGTTGGATCAAGGGGAAAGCTGAGTGTTCTGGGGGAGGACTAGAAGGTTTGGGGGTGCAGATTGGTAGAGTTGTTACAGGCTTCTGGTCACCTTGCCCTTCTCTCTCAGATGCCGAGGGCCGAGGCACTGGCCTCGCGTCCCCCCTGGAAGGCTCCGAAGCGGAAGAGGAGGAGGAAGCAGAGGATGCGGGGCGCGCGCAGCGGCCGGAGCGGCCGGAGCGCTGGCACCGGGTTCACGAGGGCTCTCCAGAGGCCCGGGTGGTGGCCGCGGGAGCGGGGGAGAGCGGTGTGGACGGGCTGCCGGCGTCCCCCGGCTCCCCCGGCTCTCCGCGGCCGCGGCGCCGGCGATCCGAGCCTAGCTGTGCCAAGCCACGGCGCGCGCGCACCGCCTTCACCTACGAGCAGCTGGTGGCCCTGGAGAACAAGTTCCGAGCCACGCGCTACCTGTCCGTGTGCGAACGCCTGAACCTGGCGCTGTCGCTCAGCCTCACGGAGACGCAGGTCAAAATCTGGTTCCAGAACCGCAGGACCAAATGGAAGAAGCAGAACCCGGGGGCCGACGGCACGGTGCAGGCAGGATGCAGTACGCCGCAGCCTGGGACACCGGGCGCCGTGGCGGGGGCCTGTGGCAGCGGCACCGGGAGCAGTCCTGGCCCACCGGTTCCGGGCGCTCTGCCCTTCCAGACTTTCCCCACCTATCCCGCGACCAACGTCCTCTTTCCCTCCTCCTCCTTCCCCCTGACGACAGCCGCCACAGGGAGTCCCTTCACCCCTTTTCTTGGGCCCTCCTATTTGACCCCTTTCTATGTCCCACACCTATAAACCCGGTACTCCAGCCGAGTTGGGATTCGCGAGTGACCAGTATGGTGGTGTGGACCCCTGCTTCACAGAGGGGCACTGACCGCCCCCTCCTGGTGTGCTGGTGTCTGTGTGCCCCTTCTCTCCAGCTGCTGGTGACGCCACCAGAGGGCGAGGAGAAGCCACCTGCTGGACTCCATACAGGCCACTAAGGGGTCCAGAAAGTATCCAGACCAAGGACTCAAAATCTTCCAGCTTCTGGACGTCGCTCTTCACTTTCATTCACTTCCGGGGCTCTGTTTTTTTTTTTTTTTTTTTTTAAGGGTCTTGGTATTCAATACCAGGCTAATAAAGGTTCCCAGGATAGAGACCAGAGGGAGCCAAGATGCCCTGGGCACCAGCTGCTAGCGCCAAAGACTGAATATTTAAAGGTTCTGGTACATTCCGAGATGAAGAACTTTCCTTCCTGGTGGTGGAATTGTCTCAACACAGTACTTCCTCTCAAATCCTGAGCAGAGCTGGGGCAAGTTGGACCCAAAGCAGATGCAGCTATCAAATGGACTGTTTTCAAGATGCATAACTCAGCATTTCTAGATCTTCTTATGAAATTCAGACTTGAGCCAGTTACTGATGCTTGTTACCTTATTTTCTGTGTGCACACGCCACGTGTATGTACCAGGAAGTTGTTCAGCTTTGTGCCTAGACTGACCTGGAAGAGACACAACTTTGTTGCCTCGCAGGTTTTGAGAGCAGCTTGGATCGACAACAGCAGTGCCCTAAATGCATAAAAAGGACAGTAAAGGGAGTGATGACCCAAAGGCTATGGTGAAGTCTGTGTGTGAGCTGTTGTGATATGCGCCTTTGTCCGGTCTACACCCTCATGGACTTCCGAACGGACAAGTTGGAGCAGAGCAAGCTCCACCCACAGGCATTGCAGTCAGGCATTTGACTACATTTTTGGAAGCACAACTGTAACATTTAGAATACCTGAGATGCTGACTTGAAAACAATTCTTGTTTTAAATAGTTTTCTCCCCCTCCTCATGATGGTGAACAAGCAAAAGCTGTAAGGGGCTGGGAAAGAAACACTTCCCACGTGTAAAGAGCCATGAAGGCCAAAACCTTGTTGGGAATAGGCTCAAGGATATATATGTTTTAATTGCTGCTTTCTTTGTGTTGTGTGATATTTTGTGTTCTGACAAATAAAGCTTGCTTGGAGTCAGAGGCGGAGCTAGCCACTAGTTAACCATAGAGGTTTGGAGGACTACAGAGAGAGGGACAGGAAGTGGTAAGGTGGGGCTGAAACAGGATCTCAGCCCCTTTGGTCCGAGGAATAGAAGAGGTAGGAAGTCACTGGTGGCTGCTCCCCTACTTCTCTGATCTTTCAAGTTTTTACCCCAATATCTGACTCCTGGTTTTTATTGATAAGATTAATTAGAATCATGCATCATCTGTCTTCCAACATTTGGGGCACTAATTCATGAAATAGCTGCTGCCCATCAGCACCCACCTAGATGGCTGGCTTTCCCTTACTTCCCCAAGCCCTCTGAGCAAGTCTGGGGTTTTCCTGTTGCAGCCTCTCTATAGCAATCAACACAAGCCCCAAACTCCACAGTTGCCTGGGCTCCAAACTCTGCTGAACATCTCTGCCTTCAGGCAGCTCTGTACTTTCATCTCCCACAGGTCACATATGCTAATTTCGAGTGTTCCTATGCCTGCCTTTCAGGTGGCTGGCTCTTTGGCTCCTTTTCCCGGTGGGTTGTCGGCTTTCCCTGGACCCCCTCCTCAGGTTGCTGACACACAATCGTGGCAGTTGTCCTCAGTCAGGCTGTGCGACACCTATGTTCTCTGCTCAGACATGCTAAGCAGCGCCAGCTGGTCTCTCTTCACTGTCATTGTCCGAAAATTTGGTGAGAAAATTGGGAATTCTTAAAGGGGGGAATTAATTTTTTTTAAAAAAGGAGGGTTTTTTCCCCCATGTTAAAAAAAAAAAGGGAAATACTATTATGATGGAGGGAGTTAGGTTTCTGTATGATTACACAATGGATGGTTTAAAAATGGAACAATTAAATGAAGGGATAATCAGCTTAGCTGGGAATGACATAATGTTAATTATCATTTTGATAATTCTAGTTTTATCCCTAAAAAAGTTGGTTGATATGCTATGCCAAGATACAGGCCTTAGAAAAAATTACTAGAGAAAGTATTGCCATATTGACTGTTAAGTTATAAGCCTTAGAAGTACGTACTAAAACAGGTAATAGAGGTATTCAGAAAAGACAGAGGAATTTAGAGGAGAACCAACCTCAACTTTACATTGTGAAATTAGAGAGGAACAGCCCATGGTTATCAAAAAACCAACCTTAATTTGTCCGGTTCCCATACAGGAACAACTGTCAAATGACAGGTAGCCCCAAGGCCGTGGAAGAGCTCACTGGATTCCTGTGGATGTGTTAGGTTTGAGGAGATTTAAGGAAGCGATAGTCTTATATGGTATGCATTCACCTTTTGTGAAGCAGATGTTAAATTCATGGTCAACTAGTAGCAGAATTGTCCCACAAGACTGGAGAGACTTGGTTACAGCAGTATTGGAACCTGGTCCTTAATTACAGTGGAGGACCTGGTGGAAAGATGAGGCTAGGACCATTGAACAACAAAATAGGGACAGAAGTATTGAAATTTCTCAAGACCAACATCTTGAAGAGGGTGATTATGCTGATGTGCAAAGGCAATCTCAATATGATGACCATGCCCTGGCTCTGTGCTGTACAGCAGCTTTGAACGAGTAGGACAGAATTGAAGAAGTCAGAAAGAGAACAGAGTTATTTAGTAAAGTTATAAAGGACCCAAAAGAAACTTTTACTGATTTTTTTTTTACAAAGATTGACTTCAGCTGTAAATAGAATGATAGAAAATTCAGAAGCTAGACAAATATTAATTTAATCTTTGGCTTTTGAAAGTGCATTCAGAATGCAAAATGGTGATTAGGCTTTTAAAGGCAAGATCTGCACCCATGGAGCAATGGATTAGGAAACTAACTTATAAGACTCACAGATGCTTTTCATTTGATCAGACATAACTTGCCAAAAGGGAACCTCCCCAAAGTTAGGATTGGGGCAAGGTTGTTTTTGTCTTTCCATAAGAATGAAGCCATTCAGCTAAGGAATCTGAAGACCACTGGACAAATGAGACATCTGAAGAAAAAGGACGAATCATCCAGAGAAAATGTCCCAAGAAAAGAGTAAATTGGCCTATTGGTATATCACATTTCCAACAGGATAAAATTTCATAAATCTTCCCAAATGTTTGTTTCTGTCATTCTCTATAGACACATAATGCAGATGATCTTTTTGTAGTCCCAGTTCAATTAAAAATTAAAGCTGGCTTTGGAATTGGAGCATGGCTCTCTCCTTCTCTAAACAAAAGAATGCTTGTTAAAAGGAAAATTCAAAATCTATGTATCATGTCAGAAGAGCCACTTGATATGGGACAGAAGAAAAACCAAAATTAAGGGACTATTCTATTGCCACTAATTTCATAATCCTTTGATTCTATTTTGACTCTTTAAAACTTTTCTTAAGGTATAAATATTATCTCAAGATTTATATATATAATTTAAACTTTTTGTCATGATATTAATGGTCATAGAGTGTTTAGCGCTCTTTTTAAAATATTTATTTTTTTTTATGTGTTTGCCTGCATGTATATATGTAAATCATGTTCATGAGGTAGCCCTGGAGGCCAGAAGAGGGCATTAGACACACCCCTGTCATGTGAGTTCTGGGAACTGAACCCAGGTCCTCTGAAAGAGCAGTAAGTAATCTTAACTACTGAGCCATCTATCTCTCCAGCCCCCGATTTTGAAACTCTTACCTCTGAAAGACTTTATAAAAAATATCATACTGGATTAGAGTCCCATGACAGGACCGCTAAAGGATGTCTTGTCTCTAGTTCCCTTGTCTTTTTCTTTCTTTTTACTTTAAGATGTCTTTATTTATTCAAAGTGCCTCTATCCCTCCCCCACTTCCTTTGTATAGTAAAACAAATATATAGTGCAAATGTCTCTTGGGTGCCCAGTGTGTGCCAGGGGCTGCCCTCAACTCTGGGAATACAATGGAAAGACTCTGCTTTGACACCGGGGAAGATGAGGTATGAGAAGGTCACAAACAGGTGAGTAGCTGTACTAGAACATGTAGCAAATGTCACAGCTTCCTTGTCAGCTGTTTCTGTACAAAGAAGCAGTGTCTTTAGCACTGATGACATTTGGACTTCTGGCTAGAAATAAATAATTCTATGAATTCTACCTTTGCCAAGTTTGTTCTCTACTTATCTGGCTTGTGTTTGCTAAGACAATGCCAGATATTTAAAAACACCTGGAGCATGGCGGAAACAGCCCAAGCACATGATATTGCCAACCTGAGGTCCTGTGTCTCTGAGCTGAGTCATTTCTTCTCTTGTCAAGCCATTAGCTTCTAGTATGGATTTCTAAATTAAATTCAGGTGGAACTACATGTAGTAATTTAGAGAAATCTCCATCTTGGGCCGGAGTCTTGGCTCAGTGGATAAAGGCACTTGATGTTAAACCTGATAATCTGAGTTTAATCCCCAGGACACACATAATGGAAGGAGAGAATTGACTCCCACAAGTTTTCTTCTGATCTTTCTTCTGCCACAGTTATGCATACTGTGACACCTGCTCTCTCTGACCCAGAAAAAATAAATAGATAGATAAATAAATAAATGTAGAAAAATCTGTCTTCTTGATAGTAAGATTCATAAGTTCATGTAATTGGACCTGTGGCTGATTTTGAAACTTTTTTTAAAACAGGATTTATTTTTGCTTTATGGGTGTGAATATTTTGCCTGCATGTATGTAAGAGTACCATGTGCATACCTAGAGCCCAAGAAGGCCAGAAGAAGGCATCATATCCTCTGGAACTGGAGTTATGCATAGTTGTGAGTACTGGAATGTTGGTACTGGAAACCACACCTTATTTATTTTTACATTATGTGTATAAATGTTTTGCCCTGCATGGATATTTATGCATCATATACATGCCTGTTGGATCCCCTAGAACTGGAGTTACAGATGGTTATGAGCTACCATGTGGGTCCTGGGAATCAAACCCAGGCCTTTGCAAGAGCAACACATGCTCTCAACCACTGAGCTATCTCTCCAGTTCCCCAAAAGATTTTCTAAAAATACCATTCTAGAACAGGATTCCATGACAGAACAGCTAAGGGGTGTTTTGTTGGTCCTTAACTCACACTCTTTATGCATGTGTATGTGTTTGTGAATGTGCTTGTGTGTTTGTGTTTGTGTAGATGCATGTAGAGGCCAGAGGACAAGCCTGGGTGTTGTCCCCAGGAACACTGTCCCTGCCATGTAGACAGGATCTCACCAGTCAGGGACCCTTTGTCTCTACCTTCCCAGGCCTGGGATAACAAACATGGACTGTCTCACCTAGAATTTAAAAATGACATGTATTTATTTCTCTCTCCAAGTCGGATGATGAAATAGAAGCAGGATGTCTCACATGTTCTTCCTGTGTGTCCACGTCTCAGCATAATCCTCTTCCCTGGCAGGCAGGCTAATCACTTCACTTCCGGGGCTCTAGCTCTTTGGCAGGTGAGATCTCATCACCTCATTTAGCAGATATGTGGGTTGGTTTGGATAGTCACACTCTCCTTTTTCCACTATAGATAGTTTTCTTGTCCTCAGGAATTCATCCGTGAGTCTGGCCAACCTTTCATCTCTCCTAACCCAGTATATGTTGGTAGTCAGTCAGTTACTGTTAATTGAAATATGCTTTCCCTTACTGGTTTGTCTAGTTCTGTCTGTTTTGTTCCTTAATAGTTACAGATGAATCTATTTTTCCACTTTTTTTTTTTTTGAAATCTGGAAGATAAACTTTTACAGCATTCAAAAATTACTTGAGGACCAGTGAGATGGCTCAGAGGTAAACATGCTTGCTATGTGGGCCCGAGGACCTGGGCTGCACTCCCGTGATGCATGTAAAAGTGGAAGGGGAGGACGGACTCCACAAAATTGTCATCCGGTCTTTACACACGTGCTGTGGCATATGCCCCTCCCCCCCAGACACAAACACACACACGCTAAATAAAATTTTAAAATTTTAAAATAATGTGAATGGACACCTCACATTCATAGAGAAGCAGTTTATAACTTTAGATATTAAAATTCTTTCTTGCAAGTGTTTTTTTTTTTTTTTTTTGGACAGTCCCTCTAATGTAGCCCAGAGTAGCCGGAAACTCCTGATTTCCCTACCTTTTCTTCCCAAATGCTGAGTTTACAGATAATGGAAGTATTAATATTTTATGAGTAATTCTAACTTTTAATTTTTTTCTAGTAAATTTTAATGGATTG